CATTCGATATTTTGATTCGTGCAATTTCACACTCATTGAAATTTATTTTAGATGTGTCTTTTTTTAAGTTAGAGAATATAAATCTCGGATATAAAGCGTAATGTTTTCAATATAATAAGATAAAAGAGACATGATTAAAATTGACAAAGACCGTACGATAAAAGACGAATATAAGCGAGTTTTTGCAACCATAGTGCGCATAACGTGATAAAACAATAAAATTTTCTAGCTAAGGTACAGCAAAAATATCTTACGAAAGAAAGGGCGTGAAGTCGTCGAGAGATAGAAACGACCTCATGGACAATTCGATCGTAATAAATGGAGATTGTCGAGATAAAATTGCGCGGATACGAGCACAATCCCATGGGACAAATAGACTATTTGTTCCCACTATTCGTTGACCCATAGGATGATAGTCTCAAGATATAAATCTTGTAAATATGGATTACAGATGCATGCTGCATCATCGGCACATGAATAACATTATCTAATGCTAATATAATAATGTACATAAATAGTATTAAATAATTTTAAAAACTACAACTATACATTTAGTAGACGTAATTTTTTTTATTAACCTATTAAGTAATCATTAATTAATTAGGATTTAATTTTAATAAAGAATGAGAAAAAAGCGGAAGCATTCTTTAAGTTCCAAAATACAATTATCAAAAGAAATATGAGAATCAATGTAGTATTTTAATGCGTTTAAAATGATGTATAAAAAATGAAAAGGTCAACATAATCGAAAAGTTCGAACTGCCTCGTTATATCGATTTATACCTAATCTCTGTACCTCTTTTAAATCGGTTTAATGTAATATCGATTGGAATACTAATTGAACTGGTAATTTTACGTCCAAAATACGTCTTTCACATTAACAGTTTAACCTTCCCAGTTTTTAATGATTGCATTTTCATCTTGAAATCAAATAAATCGAGTGCTTATGGCATGGCAATTATATTCGCCAGGCAATAAAACGGTTGTTTATGAAAATAGCAATCAATAATCTGGCTCCATCCGGCAAAATAATTTTAAATGTGTCGTATCGGTGCGTTATTTTTCAATTAATTGCTTTATAACAAACCAGTATATATTTTAGTCTATAATATACTTTATAATCTTATTTAACTTCCGCGATTTCTCAGCGCAGTGTAAATTTGATGAGCAAACACATTATGATAATTCAAAAATCCAATCATATTTAAAAGAAGTCATTTTTATCTAGTTTATGAAACTAATCAATTTTGATTTTGAAATAATAAATAAAACAGAATTTCCTGCTTATAATTTGCTTATATTTAGATTGGTCAATTTCGTCGATATACATATTTATTTATCATCTCTATTCACGATTTAAATTCAGTTTCAAATACTTCAAAAATATATCATAAATCGCTCTTTGACGGATACAATTAGCATAAGAACGACTGCATAATCATAACGGAATCAATCCGATATTAATTATCGGACCGATCGAAGTTACGTTATGGCGAAGCGTTACATGTGCTTTGTGTAACAATTTGTATTTCCTAGTAGAATATACCTACTATTGCTAGTCGAACGTCCTGATCTCTCGAATGTGTTTCATGATGAGATAGAGATAGATAAATAGCTAGATAGATATGTATATATATATATAGAGAGAGAGAGAGAGAGGGAGGGAGTGTGTGTGTCTGTGGGTGTGTGTGGATGAGAGAGTAATTTACTTTCCACCTTTTCGCGTCACGATCTCATCTTATCCGGCACAAAATTAGGTCAGAATCTTCTTACGCAGAATTTGTTTACGCGAGATAATTGGCCGGTAATTTTATCAGTTCCGCCACGGGGCGCAAAGCTTATCGAAAATTCTCCATCACTGGAAATTCGTACATGCTATATTTGATTCGCTGGCGAACGCTAACGCGGTAATCTCGCCCGACATCGATTCCAATAACTCGCACGTCAAGCAATAACATCATGACGAAACGGGAGATTGATCGATTCCTCATCAAACGAGGCTTTATCATTCCTATAGGGGTAAAGATGTTTTATTTGTTTACAATCCCCAGCAAGTACCGTCTTTCATATATAAGTTGATGACTACTATAACTGTAACTAAAAGTGAAAATATTTTTCTTTTTCTTGTACTTTAGAAAGGAAGTGTCATGCTAGCTTCGCAAAGTTGCACGTTATATTTTTCGTTTTGATTTTTTGGTATAAAATATGCGAAACTTTTTTATTTTGATAAGAAACCGTAGAACTATGAAAAGTGCTATTGGAACTATCATTATTTATGTCATTAATAGAACGGTGTCCTAATTTCACTACCCAAATTTATGTGTCTGTAAAGTTAGCACGACATTCTATTAATATAAAAAAAATAATAACAGTTCCTGTAACACTTTTCTTAGTTTTACAGTTTCTTGCAAAATTAAAAAAGAATTCCACATTTATCATACTAAAAAAACTAAAATTGAAGAAGTAGCAGTCGGAACTCTGTTTAAAAATTATCACAGACTTGTAGAGCATAGAATTCTGCTAGAATTAACGAGAAATTTTGATAAATTAACGGCGCAATATTTTTTTCCAAGTGCCGTGATATCTTGTACATTTAAAGTCTATTAAAATTGGTAATTGTTGGAATTTTGTTTTCAAATTACATATATTAGTGCAACTCGAGAAGTACTTCATCTGAGAGAAATGGATGTTGATATTTGCCTTCTATCTCTGTTACTGCGTTAAAATCTCAGTAATATATTCCTTGAATACCATAATATTGTTATTTTAATCGCTATAATTTTCATTTTTAAATTCTTACATTTACAGCTATATTAAATCGTCTATTATTTCGCTCAATATCTTCCATCATCTTTAGCGAATTTATCAAGAGACAGAATAAATCTGTCCATCTATCTGCATTCGGCGGGCTACGAGAAAGGGAATTCGCATAAATCGCATTTGCGCGGCGACAGCGGAATCGGTATGCAAAGGCCAACTATGAGTCAGGAGCTGGTGCGAGAACCAGGAACGCAGGATGCAGAGTCGACAGTGTTTGACCCATCGTCCTAGATCCGGCATGGTCGGAAGCCTTCGAGCTCGGCAACTATGGCATTTCATGTCGGTCGCGTATCATAAATTAACAGAAGACATAACGGGTGTGCGCGATACGCATACGCGCGACAAGCGCAGTAAAACTATGCACGGCAGAAACGAGATAGCGAGTCTCGTCTGACCAAACTCGAATGTATCTACTCACGAGGCTTTGCTTCCGCGCCCATTTCATCTTTCATCTCTCTCTCTCTCTCTCTCTCTCTCTCTCTCTCTATCTGTCTGTCTATCTCTTTTCCTTCCTTCCCACTAAGAACACACCCTTATCTACGGACTACCTCCTCCTTATCTGCGGATATCACTGCAAGTTCTCGAACAAGGGACATCTTCAGGTCGCCGAAACTTCCGCAACAACTCGTACTCGTCCGGCAGGATTCACCGAGCGAGGTCCTTACGGAAACTACGAAGTGAGTTGGATAAGGATCCAGGGAAGCGAATCTCGGAGAAAACGGAGAGAGAGAGAGAGAGAGAGAGAGAGAGAGAGAGAGAGAGAGAGAGAGAGAGAGAGAGAGAATAGTTGTAGTAGAATAGTAGACAGATATATCGGTCCCTCGGAATCCAGGCGATAGCGCACTTAATGAAAGACTTCGGACAGAAATTGAAGCAAGTATTAAAATTTAAGGGTATACGAAACAATGTAGAGGATGAATTCTACTAGGCATTATGCTACGGCGATTTCATGTTTGTAATATTTAATGTTCCAAACTTTAAACCCCCTTCGCGCTACTATTAGAACGACTAGTGGCAAACTCGGTTAATTTTAACTCGATTAATTCAATTTTCCATGTATTGCGTAATGTGTCCCGTGTTTATTTGTTCGCATTAAACCTTAATTAAAGCTTAATTAATTCCAATCTTCGATATAAACTTAGCTTTCGATATCGCGACATTCAATTTGTCCGGCAATATCGGATGGGAACGAGCATTTCCGCATACGATCATGGCCACATTTAGGACATCGTCTCCAGTACCATGTTTGAAATGCATCTGAACCGTTATACTACATGCACATGTTCATGTGCTTTTCGAGTAATGCGTATCGACCTTATTCGAAGGATGCAAATATTTACACGTCGCTGGGTCCGGGTGTCCAATTATCTCAGCTCGAGGCGTTTTATCTCGCACGCTAACTTTGCAACGATATGCAAAGCGACTCTATTAATTCCTTCGTACGAGAAGGAAGGAACGCTCGCTCAGAGCGTACGCTCGAAAGTTGTGATCTGATGTGGCGTCGTATATCCCACTCGCTAGTCTGAATTTAGATCTCGCGTACGCTTTGTAATTTATTCTATTACATGTGCCATTGGAAACCGCGACAGGGATATCAGCTTACGAGACGCTGTCTCATGCACGTGCGTTACATCTGTCAAAAGACAGCAGTTGGTATGCGCAGCGATAAATTATGCTTTCGAAGTGAACGATCTCACTTTTTCAACTTGTCCAACGCGCAGACAAAAATTGAATTATTTGATTCGCGTTTCACAATTCCCAGTACTTTTATTAATTCCTGATATATAAAAGTTTTGTTTCTTTACAAAAACTTATTATTTTCTCATACGGTAACGCTGGGATTAACATTTTACTTGTACTTTTCATTTTGCTGTGGACTGTTCCAGATGTATAGATTAGGAGAAATTTTCATTTATTCATATCTTGATTATATGCAAGAAAATTTGCTTTCTTAATAAGTCACACTAGCAACACGTTTAAAATTCTTAGTTAGGAATGAAAGTTAGTGATTGAAAGCCTTGATATATTTGGTTAATTACCGATACGTCAAACAAACCACTAATTATATGTCCCAGTACAATAAGTAACCCTAAGCAAGTATACAAAGGATTCCAGGTGAAATCATTCGTGATGATTCTCACGATCTTATCTCTCAACTCCCATCTCGTTTTCCTTTGCAGATGACGCTACAAGTATCGTGGGTACGGCACAGAGACGTCCATTTGCTCACAATTGGCCGTTACACGTACACGAACGACCAGCGATTTCGAGCGATCCACAACGCTCATTCAGACGACTGGACGCTTCAAATAAAGTATCCGCAACATCGGGACAGCGGTATTTACGAGTGCCAGGTCTCCACGACGCCCCACATGAGTCATCTAGTCCATTTAAATGTAATCGGTAAGTTATTTTGATAATTTCACATTGGCTAATTAAACGTGTGTAAAGAGTTAACAATTGCTATTCATTCCTGAATATTACCGATAGATTGTATAAGACGTCACGATTGCGTGCCATGGAATAAGTTTAACTTCCTCCCGTACGCGATATCCCGCGGTTAGGTTTCTATCAAATATTAGTATGCGGGGAGCATGCGGGAATCCTGCCTAATTACGACGGTGTACGCAACAATTAGTTAATTCTAATCTGAATCTGCCCTAGTTACGTAGCAACTGCACGAAATTTAAGCCAAGCTTAAATTCTGGCAGAGCGCCAATTGAACACCTGGGATTGGTTGATACCGATGTTGAGCTAAGCTCTGCCCTCTTCTTTTAGAGATAGGGTTTTCCATTACCGCAAAATTATCCGCGCGGACTTAAATTTGATAACGACATCCTTCAACTTTTTCGCTTTCCTTTATCGCTGCTACCATTCGTCGCGCCGCGGAAAGATAAATTCAGAGAGATATGCGCTAACATATCGAAGAGTTCGCTTCTCGAGTTTGCATAAGTAATTACTCGCCGATAATCAAACGCACGTACGTCAGCGCAAAACGCAAGCGATTCGCATACATCATTCGCGATGCGGTATACCCGATTTAATCATGCACCGGTATACCTCAAGTACTAACGCGAAAAGAAGTTTGCCGACCGGATCGTTTGAAGAGCAAACTTTTATACCAGGCCATATCGCACGTACGGCTTGCTACGAAAAACTTTTGCGATCGCTTAAACGTCAGACCAGAAATTTATCTACCATGGTACGCGGCGAATTGATTTAAATCGTCCCGAGGGCGGCGGCGCGTCTTCACGCGCGTCCCTCCACGTTTATCCCGTCGCGCGTCGCGATGCTCCGTCATCGTCGTCGTCTTGATCGTCATCATAATCGAGGTCACGAATTTCCTCTTTAAGCCTCACTAGCGAGAGAGAACTGTCTCTTTAAATTTCGCTTACATTAAGACGAAGGTGAACGAATGAACCGGAGCGGTCGTATTTCTATCTCCTTTCCTCTTTCTTTCTCCGACCTGCCTGTTATATTCCCCTCGGAGGCGATCTCGGAGGAGAAATACACGGGACGAAACCCGCTGGCGAGAAGGTGGGTAAGGGAACGGATCGTTTATCATTTCTAGCCCTGACCCTTAACGTAACGGTTGAACAAATGATTCTAAAGAGTAACGACTATACACACCTGCTTGCCCGGGAAGGATCGCCTCCTCGAGAGAGCATTGTACTTTTCTTCCATAGTAACGTAATTACTCATCATTCGAGGAGTGAGATAGGTAAGTTCGGAAGCACACATTTACAACAGATATAACAAATCCGCACTTACGTTGATAAAATCCTCCTTCGCGTAATTGCGAATCGTTTTATTAATCGAATATTGTCGATAAATAACATTGCGAGTCTGGCTTACATTCTTGTCAGAGTTTCTCTTGTTATAGTTAACACCATCATTCGATTCTATTATTTTACAAGATCTTTCTATATAGAATTAATACAGAAGTACAGATGATCACAAAAATACTTTCTTACATCGAATCGATAACTATCGGTTTCAAGAAACGATAACCAATAAATTTCACGACTTACCTCATATAATCGGATCAATGAGCTTATATGACAATCGAAAAGCAATTTAAACCACTTATATGTTTACAAAGTTATAAAGTATCCTTATGTTTTTTTTTACAATTAGTTGAAAAAAATATATAAAAGTGCTATAAATTTTTATGGTGAAATAATAAAAACTTTGTCTTTTTGGAATTAAATTATGATAAAACATTATTAAGTAGTCTTCATTCGATTCTTCATTATTATTCCTGTAAATGAATTAGCTATGTGTATATATTATCTGCTACAATTATATGAGAAAAATGTATTTTCTTTGTAAGGAGCCAAAGTTTTTGTATTTCATATTTTATCGTTACGCATCAAGCTAATATTATTCTTTTATACAAAGCAGTTTTATATAAAATTTATTACGAAAATTCCTCTCTAAAGTTAGATAAAGATTATCGTTCCTTAATCATAAACTAGTTGTTTATATTAATTAATATTAATTCTGAGAATATATTATTAACAATGCAATTTTATGATAAATACCTCGAACAAATACTTATCAATGATATTTGTTCGAGAGCGCGTAGGAAAATCGATAAGCTGATTATGGAGTCGAGAACTTGTGGGTATCGCCATTTAAATGAATACCCAACTTTCGTAGCACCAAACCATCCGCAAATATTTCCGTTTCCTGGGACATCCTTGGCTTAAGCTGTGCTGGTATTTACATTCACTTACCGTCTCACCCGGGGCTTTCACGCGATGTCTTTTGCAGTGATTGTATTTGTTCGCTTGTTTTCCAAGCAAGGACTGACTAATTGGTAGTTTTTAACGCATTGTATTTGAAAAATATGCGTTTTCATCATGCCTTGAATACGCGAAGCGTGATGGAGAATGCAAAACAGCGTTACCTTGCTTTCCATCCGAGTTATACAGTTGCGTGTCTGTGTTGAAATACACGACGGTGATGTAACGGGGTTTATTTTTCTAAGTCAAAGTACAATAGATTCCGCGGTGCGATTTACGAGTTCACCGTTTACATTCTTCAAGATTTCGTTTAACCATTGTAAATAAAATTGCTCGACGACTGCAGGTATTTTTCTCGTTAAAGCACCGCGCGGCGGGATGTCAGCCTGTCTTTCTCTCCTTTTTTTTCGTTAGTTTTTCGTTGAAAAATTATTTCCCAAGTTCGCGCTGCGATCGTAAAACGTCTTTATCATCGCGCCTGCTTATACATGTATGTTGCTCGTCTTCAAATTGTTTTTTGTTTATACTTATTGAACTAAAGTTTCGCGATATATCGATACTTAAAAAACACCTGCTGATAACGTTTCTAAACAACATTTAATGGTGATGCCTCTAATTTTTCTTATTATTATGACACATTTTTTCATTTTAAACTGTGCATTATTTTCTTGACCTTTTTCCATATTTTTTTATCAATAAAATAACTGTGGAATAAAAACGTAATACTTGTTACATAAAATACGAGAATTGATACATGCAATATCCAATTTTTTAATAACAATATTTTTCTTCAGAATACGTTATTGCATTCATTTTAAGTAACTACTATGTATCTAATACGCATATCTTCCAATCATGAAGAGGCTAACGACTATGGCACTACTGACCTTTATTAACGCGTTAAGCTTTACGTCCTCTAGATAGACGTCACACTGGTTAGTATCGCCTCGTATCTCAACCCGGCTGCTCTCCGGCTATAACTGCTTTCTCTCCGGTAATGCGGCTCACAAATTTGCAATATCCATGCTTTCTTGTTACTCCTACTATCCCTACTCTGGCCGTTTTCTCCTTCGTCACTCCATTTCTGTCTTTACGAGCGCGTAAAAGCTCATAATGATACCGTCGTGAACCGGCCATGAACCACTTTTGCACAGATTGGAATATTTCAGCACGGGGCACGCGACTATTCGCAGCAATTAATAATGAACAGCTGCTGCTACTGAGATCATTAAAGAACGATCAAAGCTGCCATTTAGGCGTGATAACAAAGCCGATATAAAGTAACCGGATGGCTTAGTATGCCTAATATGCCTAATATATCACAATATATCAGTTATTTAGAAAATAGTTCTTTGTGTATTCTTTATACGTACATATCAATAAACATGTCAATATATTAATAAACATATCATCTCATAAAAATAATATTGGATCACTTTATTTTTCATTTTTCTAACATTTTTTAACAAAAAAAAAAAGAGGGAATTATATACTTAGATCATATTGGGTACATATATACCTAATATAATCTAAAGCTTTTTCTTCAAATCTTCGCTGCACTCGTGTAAATACTTTAAAAAGTCTTAATGTTTACATAAACAGCGATACCACTGATCGCGTCACCATGTTGGGCCTTCCCCGCGCTATCCCCTCCCTTCCCTCCTCGCGCCTACGAATACGCCCCGCTCTCCCCTCGGAGGACCTGAGTTAGAACCGCCCTTACTATACTACTTATATGCTCCTTATTGTTTATCATTATTTTTTAATTTCGGATTTTTTTTATTAAAAAATTAAAACAAATTGTAGCTTAAGTAGGCCGTAGAGTTATCTCATTTAAAATTAATTTTACAATAAAGAAGAATTGTATAGAATAAAATATTTTGATTATCACAATGCAATTTACAACGTGGCGAACAATATGATACTATTAATTTACTTACCAGGAAAAACTCACTTTCAAATTTGATTTCTCTGTAATCAAATTTCAAGATATAATCCTATGAGCGGTGAAAATTATCGCGGAAACAGTAATCGTCATATGATTCAATAATCGTAATCTGGAAGTAATTTTTTCATTAGTCGCGAGTGTCTCTTATCGGGTATAATTTGAGATCTTGGAAAAGTATTCTCGAAAGAAAGTGTCAAATTTTCGCGGTAAAGTGCACTTCGCTCTATCTTAAGTGAGACTCGGATCGAATAGTTTCCCTACTATTTCTGCATTAACTTTGATTAGACACATTCAAATCGAATTTTTTTCTCTTTTTCCACCTTCTTTCCTTCCTTTGTACTTCGTGCATCTGTTTGAAAAATTTCATTCGTGGTGCAAAAGATCATAATATGCACTTTGTTCTGCTATTGCAAGAAACGATTCATTCCTTAATCAATCATTCGATTCATAGCTGCGAGTGACATAAGTGTAAATATGAAAAGCAGCATTTGTAAGATGACATACTTTTCTCATCGATTTGTTTTGTTTACTAATTTCTTGACTGTGATCGATTCATTTTGCTTAAAACGATACCGCAGATCTACCGTAGATTCTATACATCGTACATGTGTACACAATTTTTTATTAGAGTACATATTATTCGAAACCAGATCTCATAACGTCGAAGGAACAAATCGTGTATAAACTGTCTTTCCTTCTCTTCCATTATCACGTTCAATTTTTATCCGATATTCAATCACATCACTTTATATCAATTTTTCGGATTAGTTAAATTCGATTAGTTAAATTTGAAAAAAAAAAGTTAATTGGATTTAGAAAAAGCAGGCAATTTTGTATTAAAACGAGATAAAGTTGAATTGTATTCGTCAAACTTTTTATAAAAATGTAATTTTTCAAGCGCGCGCGCGCATACGTTTACTTTGCTCAAGCTTAAACCCCAAACCTACGAATGATATATCGAATTGTGACTCCGGTAGATTTTTGATTGGAGCGCGCAAACGCGATCTTTGCCGGCTCGAAAAAGACAATATCGTTCGTAGCAGGACCCTTCTATTGACTCGC